ACGTACCAAGCTTTTGAAGTCTCTAGTCATGCCTTTCTTTCTCCTTCAGTTCTTTTTTTTATCTTTTTTTTCTTTTTTTTTTTCTTTTTTTGTTTTTTTTGTTTTTTGAATGTTTTATACCTTTCGCGTTGAACCTATGTCCTAATAAAACGTATTACATCAAAAATATATACTACTAACAAATCTGTAGTCCTTAAGAACGTAAATTTTATAAATTCCTATCAGGTAGACTAATTCTTATTTTTACGAAGTGTACGCATGGCCATAAATGAAAGCACTAAAGTGTATATTAAAGGAATCATGTGAAAATTTCAGTCAATTGTAAATATATGTACTTTCAAATAAAAAAATAAAAAAAAAAAAAAAAAAAATATGAAAATTCGGCTGTAAAAAAAAAAAAATAGAAAGTCCTACGTGAGGGTTATTTTTATAAAATGGAGAAAGTTACAGATATTTCTTTTTGAAAAAAAAAAATAAATAAATAAATAAAAAGAAAAGACAGAAAACTTAAGATCCTAATTTCCAAAGTCAATTTCTACCTAATGCCCAATTTCCATCCTTAATTATCAATATAGCGTAATGGTTAATTCCTCGTTTAATTACTTATCCAATCTAACTTATAAACACACTCGGAATCTGTATCTATGTTTCACCAATGCACCTTGCGCAATAAATAATTTTCAAATGCTTAATATTATTTCTTAAGTAATTGTATGCTTAATAAATTACTCTCTTAAGAGTTATTTTTGTTAATCCCTTCATATGCGTAGTATTTATTGTCAGAAGTTATGCAAATTAAAATCATTCTATCATTCTCGAGCAAGTTTTTATGAACAGATATATATATATATAAAGGGTATATATAATAGGTCAATGTAAATCGAATTTTTTTTTTTTTTTTTTTTAAATAACAACTAAAACTTAAATTTACGATATTTTTTATAGCGTGTCGATTGGCATGTAATTTTACCTAATTATTAATTCTTAATTTCTAATGTAGTATTATAAATAGCATCTCAATCAAAACAATTAATTTGACCGTATCATGTATAATATCATGTATTTAGTAATATGACACATTTAGCCAATTACTAATTACATCAAATTTACAAAGATTTAGGAGAAATAATTTACAATAATTTACATAATCATCTTCAATGCACCCTTCAATCGTATTTTGTCGTTTAGCGTCCGACCGGCAAGTACACGCACGTGCAAGTAATATTAATTATTAATTAGAAGGAAGAAGATAATTATAAAAACAAAGATAAAAACAATTTCGCGACGAATTCAAAATTTCATTAATAATAATAGAAGAAGAAGAGAAGGTGGAGGAGGAGGAGGAGGAGGATAAAGTTTGTTCAAAATTGAAAGAAACTGGAAATGTTTGTCGTGTTACTTTTCGGCTGAATGATGATTCTAAAAATATAATGATAGTCATTTTCATTGACCTAACACCTCCTACACGCGTTTCACGATTGAACAAACTTTCCTGCTACTTTTTTTCCCCTCCCAAGGAGTATTTAACAACGACATTGATGTTTAAAAAAATGACCTTGCGTAAATAGTCCCTTTATTATTCTAGTATTTTTTTTTTTAATTTTTATTCCTTTCTTAGCACTCTAATCGTAGCAATTGTGGGCGCTTGAATGGTGTAACTTTAACTTTACTATGCGTATTGAGGTCATTATAGGTCCATTGATATATTATATATATATATTATACTACTCAAACATATTTTACCTTCCCATTTCAAATTTATAATTTAAAATATCAGTTCATCGAAAAATGCTCGAATAAGAAAGATTTTAATCGATTTATCTTCTGACAGGATTCCTTAAATCTATTATTTACACTCAATTATATAAAATTTAACCTTATATAATAATATAGATATATAATAATATAGTTAAGTTACAGTTCAATCGACTTATCACCTAATTATATTTGAGTCGAGTACCCCATAATGTTCTTTTAAACGTTAATTTGTAGACCCCACACTGACATTGTTTTTTTTCTAATAGTAATGCAATATTATTTTTAAAAAGTAGCATTTCAAAAATTTTACAAATATATGTGGAATATAATAAAATTTCGATACTTTTATCGCGCTCATTTCTGCACAGAGTTTCAAATTTGTTCATCATGTTAGTCACATTGGATGGTCATATTATATATTATTAAGTTAATATTAACAATGTCATTTGATTTAGTGAATATATCAATCATAATATATTAGGAGTTAATATTAGCATCAAATATGGTTAAAAATTACAACTCTCAAACTCTCAAATGCCCAGGGATAGATATATAATAATGTTGTGCGCTGTGCGCGATCTTAATTATGTCATTAGCTAAACATTGTCCGTATTCATCATTGTTAAATTTTATTATCATTGTAAGAGACGTCGTGTGATTAAAAAAAAAAGAATCATTTACGGGTCAAAGTTTGTTAGTAATAAAATGATTACAATCGAGGTTGATTGATTTAATTTGAAAGATGACAATAAAAAAAAAAAGGAACCTTATTATTTTTTTTTTCCTTAAACCTAATTCTATTAGCCATAATCCGTTTTTGTCGTTGTTATCGAGATCATTCGCGTGACACAATCACCGGCATCATTTTTTTTTTTTTTTTTCATGTTACAGAGGCATCCACGTATTTTTTTTTATTTTTTTTTTTTATTTCTTTAAATATTTTTTATCCCCCCAATTGTATCATTTCAATACCATTGGACACAAGAAATAACCCGTTAAATGATCTTTTTTACACACTCGATCCTAACAATGATAATTAAGAGATTTAACAAATGAAATTATTCTAATTATACCTAATAATAAATGTGTTTCTCTTAATGTTTATAGTAATGATTAGCAGACTTTTTTTCGGGTGAGCAATAATTTTTAATAATAACGATTTTTATTATTATCAAAAACTTTTACTCTTTTAGCCCAATCGTTTATTTTTCATAAATCCTAATTATATATATAGTGTATGACCCGTTGATTAGAATTTAAAAAAAAGAAAAACATAATATATATTTTCACGTTTTTCTCCTATGTTTCTTTTATGGTTTCATATAATATATTTTAATAATTGCCTAATTTAGAGAAAAATCATTTTAGCCTGAGCTTTTATGATTTTAATTTAATTAATTTCCATCCACATATTAATACAATTTATAAATCTGAATGCCATGTATCCATGTGAAATATTATAGTAAGTCTAATAAATGTTTTGCTCTTTTAAATTTAATAATATGATACAGCTTACATCAGTCGCCGATTAATAAATTTCCATCGATTAAAAATTAAATTTAAGTGTAGGGCGTTCCTTAGGTAAATTTGTTAATTTCTTTTTTATTTTGCAAATAGGCTGTAGACTCGTGTATTTTAGAAATATCTCTCACGTCCATTTATACTAAGATTTAGGGCACATCATTTCATTTCTTTCATGCTCAATAAATAACCTAATTATGTTTTCTAATTTTGTTAAAACTATATCATGCTTTATATTATAATTAATCATAATAATATAGTTTTGGATAGTTTTGATGCATTCTTTTTTTTTTTTTTTTTTAACGTTTAACGAAGTTAGCATTCCTGCGATCCCAAATTTTATGAGCCTCTCTTTTCCCATAGTAGTACCATATAATATTATGCAATGTAATATAATAATAATTTGACCAATAATCGAATTATTATTTATATTTTTCATGGCTCTTTTTCCAGCTGTTTGATTCCTACACTAATAGTTGGCCTGTCTTTGCAAGAGTATCTTTTTTTTTTCTTTTTTTTCTTTTTTTTCTTTTTTTTTCTTTTTTTTTCTTTTTTTTCGCCTTTTAATGACTTTCTAATTTTTTTTTTTCTTACTTTCCCATATTTGACTCTGATTTTTCATTAACTTCGCAGTCACAGCATAGATTATCAATTAAGCCATAATTATTTAAAACAATAAGATTCTCATTGAACATTCACGTTATTCAATAAATTATGTTTTTTTTTTTACGATGTCAAATACGTCCTTATTAGAATTTGAAAAAAAAAAAAAAAACATAATATATATTTGCCCTCGCATTTGACATTTCTTGTTGGGTTGGCTTTGTTTGTTTCTGTAGTTTATCATTTTTTGTGTACAAGTACTAGCCTAATTAGGACACTGCTTTTTCTTATTACAATAATTGTACGCAAAATTTTCTTAATACTAATGTTACGCACTGTGACAAATTCTAATTAAATAAATCTAATTTAGATATATAAAAATTCATGTTCAGTTTCATGCTCAGAGATTTATATTAAAATTCATGAAGTAGAAGAGTCGTGTTTTCTAAAATTTAATTAGTTGCTGTTTATATATATATATATAAATTTTTTTCTTTTCATTTAATTTTTTCTGGTTATATAATATATAATACAACAAATTTTGATAAAGGGGCACAAATTGCATATGGCAACGTTTTCAACAACACGAATGTTTAATTCACATCACCCCCCATATAAGGGTTTTTCAATACTCAGCCTTTATCTTGTTATTTTTTTTTTTTTAATAAATATTTGTTCCTGGCTTCAGTTGTTTATCGAAACATTTCTAATTTGATCTGTGACTTGATTTTTTATTTCTGTTTCATAGTATGAAATAAAAGTGTGTCCTTATTATCCTTTCGACTATTTCAAAAAATCTCTTTCAATTATTCTATTTCTTGAACCTGTTTTTTTTTTCTTTTTCATTTTCCTATCATGTCAATTTTCATTCAAAAAATTCTTTTGAATATCGATGCACGTGTGAGAGTAATTTAATATATATATATATATATATATATATACGTGTCTTTTGCAAGCAATTGTTTGTATAAACTTGAGTGAATATAACATTGAATTCATTACGATCTAAATTCTGTGGGTCATGCTTCTTTTTTATTTTATTTTATCTCTTTTCTTCGTATTTTCAATAATAGTAATAATAATAATAATGATTACCATAATATAATAACTGGCTAAGTTTCAATTTTTTTTTTTATAGATTTTTTATTCTTTTTTGTTTTTTTTTTGTTTTTTTTTGTTTCACATTTTTTTTCGACTTTACAGTACTTCGCATTGTATTCCTTCACATTCATTGACTGATTATTTGCCTCATTTTCTAATTATATTTTTATCGGTTTATCTTTTTTATTTTTTTATTTTTTTTTTATTTTCTTTTTATTTTTTTTTTTTTACTTATTATTTGGCCATAAATCCATACCTATATAGCATTAAGAGCATACCTTTAATAATTTTTGAAGTATCTTGAAACCAAACCTATTCGTATGCATTAATCCTTAAATGTACTATAGTTAAATGTTATTTAATTAAAGGGTGTTTTTACATTAAAATTGATGGTTGATTACAGAATTGGAATATTAATTTTTCTATTTATATATATATTATTAATATATCAAATCGTTTATGTTTACAGAAAAAAGAAAATGTCTATAGTACCACTCGTGTTTCATGATTGGTGGGAAGATATGGATCGTCCCGTTTCAAGGATTTGGGATCAATATTTTGGTAGAGGATTGCATAGAAACGATTTGGTCACAGGATTTTCCGATTTCGGTATAAATAGACCATTAAGATCATTATTGGGAAACAACAGTACCTACTACCGACCATGGAGGACAGTGACACGACAAAATTCTGGTGGCTCGAGTACTATCAAAATGGAGAAAGATAACTTTCAGGTATGACGTTGATGTGATATTTCAATGTGATTATTTTATTCTGACACATGTTGTCGCACGTATTTTCGGTTTTTATTTTTTTTTTGTTTTATATATTCGCAATTCATTTTTGCTTTTGTTTAAATCTTGTGTTTCAAATCTTAAGCACAGTTGTTATCTATACGGTGTTGTTATCAATAATTTCGTAGATTTTAATGATGTTTGAGATTCATTCTACTATTCCATTTCTCATAATTGAAAATTACGTTGTTCATTGATTTTATTAGTTAATGTTAGGTTATTTTTTATTTATTTTTAATTAATACGAATATTCAGTCATATAAATTTTTAATTCAATTCTCATCCATTTGTTATAGTCAATTTCATTACAACACATTTGCTCTCTGTTGGCTTTTAATTTTTTTAATAATAATTTCTCACAGATCTTACTATTTCACGATGTTACTATTTTTCTTTCTTATTTTTCTTCTTCTTCTTCTTCTTCTTCTATCACAAATATCATATTTTAAATTCATTTTAAATTACACGACTGTTGAAAAAAGTTTGTGGAAAATAATTTAACACGAAGACACGTAAAGAAAAAAAATTAAATATAATTAGAAAAGATAATCACATGGTTTTCTTAAAGCAATGCAAGATTTGAATTGCGAAAATTCGATTCATTGTTATTCATTGTGTCTCGTTATTATTATTATTATTATTAATTATTTGTATTCGAATCATTCTGTAAACTCCTACGAAACGATGTTCTTCTTCTTTCTTCATTTTAATTTCTCCCTTAACACAATCCCTTTTTTAATGAACATTTTTTAAACTTTGTTTTCATCTCCATGTAGCACTTTCGTAAAAGCTAATAATTCAATTAAAATGGGAGTACTCTGATCACAACCGTTTTATTATCTATCCTCTTCCTTTACAAAACCCTATTTACATCTAATTTTTGTTCTTTTAGATGTATATAGGATTCTGTAAAGGATGAGGATTTAAACGAAGAAAAATGATTTAAATTAAACCCTATCAATAATATAGATCTTTTAAATTGTCTTATTTAATTTTTAAATTACAGACAAAAATAACACACAAATAAGTCTTCTGCTTTTTTTTGTTTTGTTTTTTTTTTTTTTTTTATTTTTTTCCAACCCTTTTATAATATAATTTTCATAAATGATACACACGTATCGTAAAGTTCTATCTTAATAAATGTGGCTTTATGCTGACATTGGTCAATCTTACGAACTAATCTATGAGAAAATTAGTTCGTAAAGATGAAAATAGAAAAAAAAAAAAGAAAAAGGAAAAAAAAAATTTACAAACACTATATATATATATATATATATATATATATGAATATATGTTACAAAAATTTGAGTAGCATCGGAAAGCACTTAATCAATTTTGGATCTTTCTATCACCACATATATTCTACGACACTTTCATTAGTGTAAGATGCACGTTGGACCTATGTTGATTTTTTTATTTTTTTTTTTTATTTTTAATATCCTCTCCTTTTTTTTTAATTATTATTATTATAATTAATTACCGCAGTTCGCGTTTATGCAAAAAGAAGTCTTATTGAAAACGTCGAATCAAATTTTCGATGTTTTATTTTTATTTTTGACTCGTTTCCAATATTATGTTTTTGGCTATTTTTTGATTTTATTCATAGTTTTAATTTTAGATTGAAACTAAGTTTATTAATAAATTTTAGTAATGGAAGGCAATCGTATAAATACGTCGACGACTATCCCACGACTTTCATAATAATTTGAAAGTCGTGGGACAGCCGGGACAACTAATTTCTTAATTTACACTCTCTTTCTGATTAGAATGAATAATCAATTAAAAAAAAAAAAAAAAAGAAAATCGATATTTCAACAACAAAAAAAAGAACCCGCGTTCCTCAAACTTCTTACTTTTCTATTTGAAATTTATATTTGATCTAACTCAATTATCTGTTTTATTTTCTACTCGAAATAATATCGTATTTTACGAAAACTATGCTCAAAGTTTAAACAACAAATTATTCTCGATAATTGTTATTAAATTTATATTCAAAATACCGTCTGTCTCGTTGATTTAATATGTCGATGTTATTGACACTGGATAAAACGTTATTTTTTTTTTGTTCTTTTTATTTAAATGATGTCCCTGTGTTGTTCGTTTTTTTTTTTTTAACACACCCGTTATGAAACGATGTTCTTCATCTAAAACGAGTCGATTAATTCTGCACAGAATTGGAAAGTTCTATATTTGTTTATGTATTTTTACTGCAAGCAGAATAAACGTACTCGTAGTTTTATTATTTTGAAATAAGCTGATAAGAAAGAAGGTTTTATCAGTGATCGAAATCACCCACCAACCCACTCCCCCTCTCACCCCGTTCTGTTAATTGAAATGAAATTATTAACCGCTTAACTAAACGCGGTTCACGTATTCGGTTCTTGTTAAAAATTGCAACTTTGTTTAGTATGCTATATTATTTTTATATAATAATTTAATTATATATTATTACTCTCGTAAGATGTTGTTGTTGTTGTTGTTGTTGTTGTTGTTGTTGTTGTTAATGTTGTTAAATCGAGTTGGAATTGATTGTTGTAACCACTATCTTATCGACATTTAATTAATAAATATCGTTAATTCTAAGAAGCAAAGATAGTAGAGAAGATTATGTTTGTTGCTACTACTCGAAGCTCTTATACCACATAATGTTACCCACACGTACATACGACGACGCACATTTGTTTAAAATAATATTGAAAAATATCAAATGGCTTGGGAGATATACATCATCCTACAGATAGCATATAAATTGCGTAGAGTATACACTACAATTAAAATATTCAAATTAAATGATTATTATTTTCAATGTTCCCAGATATTAGTATTTCGTTATTATTTTTGTTTTATCTTGTATATATGTATTGGTTATACTTTAATTTTAATTTTTTTTTATTATAATCGATTATAAACGCAAAGTATTATCTATATATTAAATATATATATATACGCCCCCTTAATTATTCTATAATGTGTGTGTGTCAATTATAATAATACAATAATAATAATTATTATTATTATTATAGAAAATTAAACGAAAGTAGATTACAATATGCGAAGATTAATTATAGAAAATTAAAACAAAACAAAAAAAAATTAAAAAAAAAGATCAATTAATATTGTAGCTGCTTTTTTTCTTTCTTTTCTTTTCTTTTCTTTTGTGCGTTCGTTGTTTTATTTTGTTTTGTTTTGTTTAACCTTTTTCTTCTTCTTCTTCTTTTTCTATCAAAAAATTTCTGGACTGAGATTTACAGATTAAAGTGAATTTATTCTTTCTCGTTTTGTTATCTGAAGTATAAAAAAAAGGTATAGAAACTATGGAGTATATAATAATATCCTCAGGTTTTATATTATCTTTTTCTTTTTCTTTTTCTTTCTTTTTTTTTTTTATCGCGTTTGTTTTTTTCTTTTTTTTTTTTTTATACAATTAATATTTAATATTCTGAAAAAAGAAAGAACAACGGTGTATATATTATTATTGATATAAATCGTATTTAAATATACATAGAATATGTAGAGACTTTTATAAATATTTCTAGGAATCAGATTAGTTTTTTTTTTTTTTTGCAAAATCGGAATCGCGTTTTAAAAAGGGTTCAAAGGGAAACGGGAGGAAGGGTTCAAAGTTGTCGCATTCGTAAGGGTTTTTTCTTAAACACTAAATGAAAAATTAAATATAATTGAATAGATAGATTTTAAGAATAGAAAAGTTAGGATAGGAAAATTTATAGAAAGGAAGGAAAGGAAGAAGAGGAAGGAAAAGGAAGGGGAATGGGGTAAAAAGAAAAGAATAAAAAAAAAATAGGAGAGGAGACGAAAACCTTCACCGGGTGATGAAAATTGTTATCAAACTTCAAATCTACGATTTGCAAAGAAAAATGATTTATATATGATAAATATTTAATAATTATTTAAATAATCACACACGAGGAAAAAATATTTGACTCTTATTTTAAGAAATATGATATTATATATATATATAATGTTTTACACAAAAAAAAACTGAATAATTAGAATTAATCATGTAAAATATTATAAAGTGAAATATGACGATATGGGGAAAATAATAATTGGATGATTGATGGATGGATTGATTGATTGATATGGATGATGGGTTAACGAAAGGTAGGAAATATCTGTTGGAACATCAGAAAACCCGAAAATTGTTCTTTTCTGTTATTATTACAACCGAAACTATTAATTCTTTCTTTTCTACCATCGTTAAAACATCTGCTTATGTTGTTGCTGCTGCTGCTACAACTAAAACCACCATTACTACAACTACTAACGTAATCTTTCACGTTTCTTTTACTACCCTTTCTCATCATCATCATCATCATCATCATCATAATCGTTGTTATTTCTTTTTCTTTCAATAATATGAAACTTCCATTATTCTTATATTCGCAAATTAATCAACGACACGATCTGTTAAATCTCAATCGTTAACATTTTTACAGCGAGTTATAAAAATAATACTACGCTGAAATCTGATGTTCAATAGCGAATAAAGAAATTAGGTTGGTAATAGAAACCAAAAGAATGAGAGAAAAAAAGAAAAAAAAGCAGCGTTTATTTTTCCTTTTTTTTTTCCTCAACAAGATGTGAATAATCAAATCTGTATCATCATCATCATCATTATCATTATCATCATTATCATCACACGTACAATCTTTATCCTTTATGATTTATCCGAAGAATTTATAGTTCGATCAATAATTGGTGGTTTCAAATTTCTCACCCTTAAACTATCGAGACCAACCCCCTCCCATTAATGAGTTGGGGGGGAGGGGTGAAAGGTAACTCGATTTTAGATAAAAACGAGACAGGTATCTAAAGTGTTCCTGAGACGAAACGATATTTATATGTATATATATATATATTTATATATATCAGTGTGTGTATGTATTTTTGTTATGTATAATACATATATTTAAATATGTTTGTATGGGGGTGTACTTGGGCTGGATAAAATGGGGAAAATGTTTATGTATTTATCAAGAAGACAATAATATGCGACAAATAATCGTTGGATATACACCACAGCGGTTCTCAACTCTTACGATTCCTTTTTTATTTATTTATTTATTTAATTCTCTTTGTTTGTTTGTTTGTATTTAATCGCGTAATCATCACAGATATTAAAAGAGTCGCAATGATCTCTCTTCTATTTTTTTTTCTTTTTTTCTTTCTTTCTTTCTTTCTTTCTTTTTAAAACTATTTTATTCTCGCGTATGAATTTTCCACCACAATTCGACGTATTTGAAATGATTTTTTTATCGCATTACGATTTGTTGTTAAAAGTTTCAAAATGTTCTAACGTAGAACGCAATAATCCTGTTTGTCTTTTTTTTTAATTTTTATCAGTTTATTACGTTTGCGTTTAATGCGATTAAACAAATACGACGATGTTATGAAAAAGAAAAAAGAGAAGAAAAAAAAAAGAAAAAAGAAAGAAAACGTTTATATATATTTATATATGTATATAAATTCAGGTATCAGTCTTGTTGGAGAATAAAACCGAAACTGGAAATGCAATTCTGGATTTAATTACGGAGACGAAGAAACGTGTCACCCCCCCTAAAGGGGCACCACTCACCACCCTAAAACGGGGGGTGAGGCTTGGATTTCCGTTAAAATGTGTTCTTTTTTTTTTTTTTTTTTAATATAAACGATCTGTTATCCTCTTTTCTATTTCTTCTTCTTCTTCTTCTTCTCTTTTGTTTTCCTAAGTTCACGGTTTATTCTGCTTATAAAGTTTCATTTGTTTTTTTTTTTTTTTTTACAAAAATAAAGACTTTGAATGAATCAACGAGTTATACGGGGGAATCGTACCACAAAATACCGAATCCTCTCTCATAAATAATATTTCGTTTTTCCGTTTTATTTTATTTTGTTTATTCTCTTACCGTTTGCGAAAAAAGAGTTTTCACGAAAAGTACGATCGCGTTAAGGATAATTATTATTATTAATTATGACGATACGTTTGATGTTAATTAGGGTTGTTGTTGTTGTTGCTCTTTTCGGTCCACGCTCTTAGAGCGGGCCGATTAAAAAAAAAAAAAAAAAAAAGAAACTGCACTTATGGTTATTTTTGTGTGTCTCGTATTCTTCGTTTTCAATCACAATTTTATTCTGTGCTATTTTTAATAATATATTTAATTTCAATTTAATTCATTAATTATAAGAATGCATACTTTTGTTCTTTTTTTTTTTTTCTTTTCTTTTTCTAAAGCTCTAAATGTAAGAAAAAAGAAAGCTCGGATCGCACTGTACGCGTATTGTTTTTTTTTTATATTACTCTTTTCACTTATTCGAATGAATCACCACCTACTTGTATGTGTGCTCTCTCTTTACGTGGGCATTTGTTAATATTATGAGAAAAGAACAATTCCACAAAACAAGTAGGTGAACCTGGTAACTACATCTTCCCGGTTATCTTTTGTTGTACGATTTTATACGAAACTATCCAGGATTTTATGTCAGAGAGAAAAAAAAAAAAGTAAGAGGGTAAAAAAAAAAGAAGTTGTTTTTTATTTTCTTTACATGAAAATTCCGTCCGATTCTTAAATCTCCGTAATGGGCTTTATTTTATTTATTTTATTTTTTACTTCTTTGTTTCTGTGTTTTTATTACAGACGATTTGAATAACTTTTCTACATGATCAAGATTTGATATTATCAAACGAAGATAAATCTTTGAGTTAAAAATTATTAACTCCAACAAGATTTTAAAACATTTAGGAACACTTTGATCGATTTTATTTAAAAAAAAAAAAAAAAAAAAAAAAAACGGAACTACACCGTTCACGAATATCCTTGGATAAAGAAAGAAAGGAAAAAGAAAAAAAATTCAAGAGAAATGTACTCCCCCTTTATATCTTATTCTTTTCTTTTGTTTTTTTTTGTTTTTTTATTGTTTCATATATATTTTCTCGTTTCTATTTCAAACAATATATCGAAGATAGAAATAAAAAAAATAAAACTTTTGCAGACGTAGAAATTCATGTGTGTCGTGTCTTCTCTTACTCTGAGTAAAACACCATTAAAAAGGTGTTTACAAATCAAACACCACCATATGGTGTTTACGTACGTTCCTCTCCTTTCTCTATGGTGTTATTTATATCGGAAATAACTTGAAAAAAATCATATATATATATATATCAGAATTAATTCTGGACCTTTTAGTATGTTTAAACGATTGATTGTGGATCGTTTAAAAAATAAACAAGAGATGTTTTGCAGGTAATACTGGACGTTCAGCAATTTTCACCTGACGAGATTACGGTGAAGACGGTTGATAAAAACGTGGTTGTAGAAGCCAAACACGAGGAAAGACAAGACGAGCATGGATTTATCAGCAGACAATTTGTACGAAGATATATCCTGCCAAATGATTACGATGCGATCAACGTAACCTCGACGCTTTCCTCTGATGGTGTTTTAACCATAACGGCACCAAGAAAGGTAAGAAAAACCACACCTGCTGTTTCTCCTTTTCTTTTTTTTATTTTTTATCCTTTCCTATTATTCGGTTCTTCCCCCTCCCTTTCTACCGTGTTTCCCTTCCTTCCTATCGTTTAAAACGAATTCGAATGAAAAATTGTGTTTGCTTTGTTTTTAAATATGCTCGAACTCGTTGATCAGTATAAATAATACCATGTGTGTGTGTGTGTGTATGTGTGGAATGATTATTTTTCCACACCGATGTTCTGCTAGTAAAATTATGATGGAACGCAACGAGAGGGACAACGCACCACCATATTCTCCACCCACCCACCCAAATCTACCACCTACCACCACACCACCTCCACCACCTTTTCTCTGTCCCTCTCGATTTTTATTTATTCTTTCTTTTTTCGGTTTGTTGTTTCCTTTTTCTGTTTGTTTCTTTTTTTGTGCTTCAACTTACTTTCTTTGTTTCTGTATATTTATTGTTTTGTTTTGTTTTTTTTTTTATTGTAAATCCAACACCCCCGCGTTTTTCCAACCGTGTCTCTCCCGTGGGCTTCTCTTTTCTTTCTGCTCTTTCCTGCTAGGCTATTGTGAAGTTACACTCTTACTGATGGTGTTGTATGTGATGCCCACGCGGATCTCTAATTTTACCGACACAGCTAAACACGATAAAAAAGAATATACAACTTATTATAATAACTACGTAGTTTTTGAACTTCGATCAAACGAATGAATTGTGCGTATGTGTGTGTGTTTGTATGTTTTATACAGGTTTGAAAGAATTTTAAGTTTAATTTTGTTATTCGTGTTTTGCTATCGGTCTATTCAAATTTAATGAATTTTCTCGAGATTTTGAGTGAAACGCTCGTTAAATCTTAGCGCTTCGTTTCTTTTTTTTTTTATTTCTTTTTTTTTTTTTTAATTTTATTTTTATTTAATCGAAATTATTTTATACAGAATATTATCATAGTTACAGTGGGATTTTGTTTTTACCACAAATTGATTGAATTAATTTTATAAACGAAGAGCAACCGATTCGCGAGTGTCTCTTCTCGTATCATTATTAATTTGTGACTTTAATTTTGTTTAATAAATAATATATACGACCGGTAAACACTAATTATAAATAATATTGTTAATACGAATTTATTTTTTATTTGAAGTGACGCTACGTAACTCAAACGTTGAAAGAGCTCAAATATATTTTTTTACTTTTCTTGCTTGTTTTTTTCAATTGTTCTTTTTTTTTTATACATTAACATAATTTATAAATTATCCTACTATTCGATTGTTTCGAAACACTTTGTTTACGTGTTCGAATCGAACGAATCGATGGATTTTATGACAAAATTGATTTGTTTTAATCTCGAAAAAATTTGCGCACCTCCGAATTAGTTAGTAGCGACACCGATTGGTAATATGAGTTTATTATATGTTTCATTAAAAAAAAATATATATATATATATAAATATTTATCTGTAAATTCTCGGTACAATCAACCGCTTACCTATTATTATTCGGAGGTATTATTCTTCATGAAATTTGAGTATTTCATAGCTTAATCGGACCAGTTTTCGTTGCGTACGGATTGTTCAAGCACCGAGACCCCGTAGGGTTCACTAAAAAAAGAAACATTTGTGATAACTCATACAAATAAGAAGATGAAATCAAAACTAATATTGCAAATTTTAATTATTTATTATTCTTTTTTTCCCCTTTTCCATCTGTTTTTTTTTTTTTTTACAGAAGCCCGAACCCACTGGAACCGAAAGGATTATAAACATCGTTAAAACCGGTTTGCCTGCTGAAAAAACGTTGCCGGTTGAAACCAAAATCGAAACTCAAATTGAAACCGAAAAGAAAAACGAAACGGAATAAAACGTAAATGATAATTATCAATCAATACATTTGATTTATGTATAATAATTTTATATATTAAATTTATATATATATATGTATGTGTGTATGTAATAAAAATATTTCAAATTGTTACTAGAGTTCAATCCATAAGATCACTGTGAAAACGATGACACAGATTGTTATATGCGTACAAGAATAAAATCAAATGATACGATTAACAATCAACCAATGAATGTATCCTCATTCTCAACATGTTTAATTATAATCACATTATTATTTTTTAATTATAAAAACATTCTTACACTATTAAAGATCATTCACCCATTCTCACATAAAAATATTTCACAATAGAAACACACAGATACACTCAAAGTAAAAATATTTTCTTCCAATGACCAGAAATATAATTATTCCATATATAACTTATAGAATATTTAAATAAAATAAACCTAAGAAAATGTAAAATTAAATAATAATTAAAATAATAAAAAAAATCTAAAAACTTACGGTTTACTGTCGCGCTCCGCAGCGATGCCCGGCTCGTCTACATTGTAACGATTGGTGTTGTCCCGTAGGCCCTTGGACGATCACGAAAAAAAAAAATAAAAAGCGAAAAGGTTGATTAGCCGGTGAAGGTTCCCTACTCGTCCCTCGATGGGTGAGGTCCGGAGGGAGGTTTGGGAAGGTTTCCTGAAGTATTCAGTATCCTAACTGAACGAAGGTCTGTTAACGAATGCGCCTGGTCGGTGGAACCCATCGGGTTTATATAGCTGACGTGTCCCGGGCATCGAACATTCGAGAAAATTCAACCGCTGCATGGCGCTGTACACCGAACACTTTGTCCGGTTTTATTCCTAACGCGCAATATCATATTATTACAAATATCTTGCATATAATCAATAAATTATGACATTAAATGTTAACCCAGACCAAGATTAATTCAAAACTAAACGATTTGGGTTATCAAAATTGTTCATATTATCTTGGTTTAATAAAAAACAAGGAAATATGTAGTATTGATCGGTTGAACGTAGACAGAATTTCTGGCACGTTCTCTACTTGTGAACCCCACCATAAACCGTATCTCACACTTTGTTCGATGGAATGTATATATATACGTTACTAATACATTATTGAAACCGGTTTATATGTGAACTCACACCGACAAATATGGTTTGACCGTGTAGTATAAAACTGGTTGAGTGAGAACTGAGAGAGAAAGATAGATACATATAT